CTTTTTTTTCTTTTTTTTTTTTTTTTAAAGAAAAAAAAAGACAAAAATTCATTTACAAACAAAGATTTGCAAATTTTAATGTTTACCAAAATAAAATTTAAAAAAAAGAAAAGCAAAAATAAACGATAAAAATGGTTCCAAATATTTGTGCAAGAAGCGCGCAATTATATGCATATATTATTTATATATTGTATTGTATTTTTGCGCACAATTGTGTTTTTGGTTGAATTGTTGCATAGTTTGCATGGCATGTTAGCAAGCTTGAATGTTTGTGATTTTTTTTCCCCCCCAAATTTAATGAAATTTTTATCAATATTATTTTAATTATTTAATTATCATACATTTTATAGGGTAAACCTGGACCAATAGGACCACCAGGATTAAAAGGCGATATTGGATTACCTGTATGTATAAAAATTGTTTGATTATAATTTTAATAAATTGATAATTGCTAAAATTAATTTTTTTTAAATTTATAAATTATAGATACCCATATTTTTATTAACAAATTTGTTCATTTTGAATATTTCTAAAAAAAAAAAAGTAAATAATTAATTCATTTTGAATTATTTTACATTTTAGTTTCCATTTAGGGTGCACGTGGTCCAACCGGTGATCGAGGATCACCAGGAGAAACTGGTGAACGTGGTCCACCTGGAATGCAAGGTGAAAAAGGCGAACAGGTATATAGTGATATTGATTTAATTTTTAATCAAATATTTATATCAAACTTTATATAGCAAGTTAAAAAAAACAAAAAAAAGAGAGAAAAACAAAAATTTTCAGTTTATTGTAGAAATTTTTTAGAATTTTTTATATCACGAAAAATGAATCGTAAGATTTTGGTTAATGTTATTTCAGGGTATTCCCGGTTTGGATGCACCATGTCCAACAGGACCTGATGGATTACCAATGCCATATTGCGCCTGGAAACCACTTGATGTTTGTTATTACATTATTCATTTATTGAATTTAAAAAATTTAAAATAAATTCAACTACGTCCAAGTAATTTAATTATTAAAATTAAAAATCCAAAAAAAATTTAATACATGTTCAATTTGTAATTATAATAATATACAAATGAAATCAACAAGACTAATATATATTTCAGCCAAATGTTCGAACAACATATGGGTAAGATCAAAAAATGAATGAACTTGATAATAATAATAATAATAAAAAAAAAAAAAACTTGGCATGCAATATCACTGATTAATTTTCCTTGTTAACGATTTTTTTTTCCTAAAATTAAATTTTAGCATTCATTTTGCTTTCTTTTTTTCATGCTATTATTTCTTATTTTAAAATATAATTATTGATTAAATGTTTCGGGAAATTTGTTCATTTTTTCTTCGCTCTTCCTATTTTCTGATATAAGCCAAATTTTTGATTAGTATTTGATAAGAATTTAAATTATCATTTGGACTTTTTTTTTGTTATTATGAAATTAAATTATGCTTAGTTATACT